TCATCACCTTGAACTTTCCAGTCCCCTTCTTATTACACTGACCTTGGTGACACTAAGGACATCTGAGCCAGGGGACAGGCTGGCTGGGGACTCCTCTGGTTGTTCCCAGGAAGCCCTCTGGCTCTCCAAAGTTGGGTGAGGGTGTTTGGAGGGTTTATGGGGGAGGAAGGAGTGGTAGGGAGGCCAAGGTAGTGGAATGGGCTGCGGTTGGGGCAGGGACACTTGCGGATCTTGAACCTACCTCCTCACAGTCCCGGACAAGCCTCTCCCGTCTGTCTCTCTCTAGACTTCATCTTTTTTTTTTTTTTTTTTTAAGGTTTTATTTATTTATTTGACAGAGATCACAAGTAGGCAGAGAGGCAGGCAGAGAGAGAGGGGGAAGCAGGCTCCCCGTGGAGCAGAGAGCCCGATATGGGGCTTGATCCCAGAACTCTGGGATCATGACCCAAGCTAAAGGCAGAGGCTTTAACCCACTGAGCCACCCAGGCACCCCTAGACTTCAGCTTTTAATGCAGTGGAGAGCTCTGTTCCTGGACTGGTCGTATCTCCTACCTGGCTCTATCCTTTGGATGCCTGGCTTGTTTATCTCCATGTACTAACCTAACCCCAGTTCCCCATCGCCTCCCCCAGCTGATCTCTGCAGGATGAGTTCAGTCACCTGGGGTTTTGTTCAAAATCCAGACCCCAGACCCACTCCCAGACTGGTTCTCTTAGCATGCATGAGGCCCAGGAAGGTGGAGTTTGGAAAGCTTCCAGGTGACTTAATGTGCACCCGTTTAATGAGTCTGTGTTTATTACTTACCTGGAGCCATCACTATGTGCTTTTATTAATCTATACTGATCATTCATTTATTTATCAATGTCCGTCTATGGTGGTCTATATCATTCATTGAGTCAGCATCCACCCTATCATCTTCAACAGGCATATATCAATATCCTTATATGTTCACTCATCCAATAACTCACATTGAACACTGTTTGAAAAAAAAAAAAAGATTCAGGGGTGCCTGGGTGGCTCCGTCGGTTAAACGTCTGACTCTTGATTTCAGTTCAGGTCAACGGGAGTCTGCTTCTCTCCCTCTTCCTCTCCCTCTACCCCTCCGCCTGCTCGTTCTCTCTCTCTCTCTCTCCCAAAATAAATAAATTAAAAATATATATTTTTTAAAGTGTGCCAGCAGACAGCACTCACAGTTTTTTTTTTTTAAGATTTTATTTATTTATTTGACAGACAGAGATCACAAGTAGGCAAAGAGGCAGGCAGAGAGAGAGGAGGAAGCAGGCTCCCCACTGAGCAGAGAGCCTGATGTGGGACTCGATCCCAGGACCCTGGGATCATGACCCAAGCCGAAGGCAGAAGCTTTAAACCACTGAGCCACCCAGGCGCCCCAATAAATAAAATATTTTAAAAGAGCATTCATAGGGGGCGCCTGGGTGGCTCAGTGGATTAAGCCGCTGCCTTCGACTCAGGTCATGATCTCCGGGGTCCTGGGATCGAGCCCCGCATCGAGCTCTCTGCTCAGCGGGGAGCCTGCTTCTCCCCCCACTCTCTGCCTGATTCTCTGCCTACTTATGATCTCTCTCTCTCTGTCAAATAAATAAATAAAGTCTATAAAAAAAAAAAGAGCATTCATAGTACTTGTTAAAGATGGTAAGGAAGACTTTATTCAAGAGGGACCACTGCAGTGGGGGGTTTGCGGTAGGGGAGGGAAATGGGGCTCAACTTTGAATACAACAAGGGCAAGTGGAGATTTAGAGCTAAAGAGCAGGGTGGGGTCCGTGGATGGAAAATGACTAAGTGGAAACATCAAGGCTAGCGGGATTCCCCCTGAAGGCAGGCCAAGATATTGAGGGTAGAAAATGAGGAATTTGTTTAAATATGGAGGATGATCAGACACCAGTGGGGGCCGGGGGGGAAAGGGCGGGATTCTTGCTAAAACTGGACTCTACAAGTCACAGATGGAAGTTCAAGGTCAATCTAGTTAAGCAGAGTGCTCAGAGGAGCCTGATTCAGGTTTGGTCAAGGAGAAAGTCTTTGTGACCCAGGCATTGTTCTAGGCTCCAGGGATAGAGAACAACACAACAAGGCCCCGCCCCTCTTGGGCAAACAAATATGTAGCATGTCAAGTGATGAGTCCTGAGAAGAAAAACACAGGAGGATAAAGGGGAGAGAGAGTGGGGTGCCTAGCTGGCTCAGTTGGTAGCTCATGCAGTGCTTCCTCTAAGGGTTGTGAGTTCAAGCCCTGTGTTGGGCGTAGAGCCTACTAAAAAAGTAAGATAAATAAGTAGGAGAGAGAGAGAGACAGTAGACAGTAGTTATTACTTACACCTGTCCCAGTGAACCTACGCTTCATCTACTTATCTCAGTTTACAATTGCCTATTGCCGTTTTCTTACTACCAATGGTCCAAATGTCCTGAGACTATGCCAGGTCCAGCATTGAGTACTTTTAAGTGAATAATAATCTAGAATGGTCATAACAGCTCTGAAACCATCCTCCTCCTCATTTTAGGGGTGAAGAATGTGTGTTTTGTTTTTTTGTTTTGTTGTTGTTTTAAAGTCTATCCTTTTTTTTAGTTCTTTCTTTTGTTTTTTTTTTTTAAGATTTTATTTATTTATTTGACAGAGAGAGATCACAAGTAGGCAGAGAGGCAGGCAGAGATGGGGTGGGGGAAGCAGGCTCCCTGCTGAGCAGAGATTTCCCCATGTGGGGCTTGATCCCAGGATCCTGAGATCATGACCTGAACTGAAGGCAGAGGCTTAACCCACTGAGCCACCCAAGTGCCCTGAAGGTGTGGTTTAAAGAAGTTAAGTGATTTTTTTTTTTTCAATATTTTATTTGTTTGAGAGAGAGAGCAAGAGCACAAGCAGGGGGGGAGAGGTGGAGGGAGAGGCAGACTTTCTGCCAAGCAGGGAGCCTGATGCAGGACTCCATCCCAGGACCCCGGGGATCATGATCTGATGCCTAATCGACTGAGACACCGGGGTGTCCAAGAAGTTAACTGATTTGCACAAGGTTACAGAGCACAGAGTGAGAGTGGCAGACTGATCCCAGAATCCAGGCAGTCCGACTGTGGAAACCACTCTTCTCTGTTCTGGCTCCCTCTTCCTTGGCTCATTCGGTACCAGATTCTCTCTTGCCTTGGGGTCACAGCCCATGCTGCTCCTGGAATGCTCTGTCCTCTCCCTTTTACCCAGCTAATCCTTGTTCATCCTTCGGGTTTGCATCTGGACTTCCCTTTCTTTCAGGAGTCTCTCACCTCCCCCTGCAAGCCCAGGTGTCTCCTTAGTCTCCCCACAATCCTGAGTTTCTCGCATCAGAGCAACTATCACACAACATTGTAATTAGGTATCTGCTTCCTCTGAGCTCCCTGGGGCCACCACGTATCTTGCCCCCACCACTGTGCACCTGTGAAAGGCTGGCACACAGATATATTAGTTGTGCAATGAATGAAGCAATGTGACCTTTCTGATGATTATATTTAAAAACAGCTCTTTGCAGTGGCGCCTGGGTGGCTCAATCAGTTAAGCATCTACCTTCAGCTCCAGTCATGATCCCAGAGTCCCAGGATGGAGCACGCCCCAGCGTCTGACTTCTTGCTAAGCAGGGAGTCTGCTTCTCCCTCTTCCTCTGCACCCCCTTCTGCTTCTTCTTTCTCAAGTAAAGAAATAAAATCTTGAAAAATAAAAACCAACCAACCAGAAACAGCTGTTCGCCGTTATGAAAGGACTTGCCACACTGTTTTCTGCAAGCCTCACCAAAGCCCTGTGACTTTGGCAAGCCACGCCCACTTACAGGGGCTCGGTAAACCCCGGGAACTCCCGCGAGCTTAAGTGGAGGAACTTGATTCCAACTCAGGTCAGTCCTATTCCAAACCCAGTGTTTCCTTCGAGGCACTGTTGGGCCGTCGGAACGTAATCACTTGACTTCAACTCTCAGCGGGACAATGTCTGGTAGGGGAGGTTTGCAAACAGCTCCAAAAGAAAGTGGAGAGTTCCAAGTTTGGTTTAAGAAGATGCTGTGTGGGGAGCCTGGGTGGCTCAGTCATTAAGCGTCTGCTTCGGCTCAGATCCAGCCCCACACCGGGTTCCCTGCTTGGCGGGAAGCCTGCCTTCCCTCTCCCACTCCCCCTGCGTGAGTTCCTGCTCTCGCTTTCTGTCAAATAAATAAATAAAAACTTTTTCAAAAAGGAAGAAGAAGATGTTGTGGGAAGTCAGAGGCAGAGGCATTTCAAAATGGGCCCTTGAAGGGCGGGCAGAATTTGTGGGGGGACCGGGAGGAGCAGAGAAGCCAAATAAGGCTCAGACCGATCACAGGTCCCTCCCCAAAAGACCCTCAGAGACCTGATAGCTCCGCCTCAGTTTCTTTAAGGATGGCCCCGCCCCACTCAGCCAGCGCAGTCAATCGAATCCCGATGGCCAATGGTAGGGCAGAAGAGATCACTTCCGCGCCTCAACCGCACTTAGGGGGCGGAGCAGGGGCCAAGGAAGGTGGGGCCAGGCTGGTCACGTGACACCGCCCATTGGCCAGAGGCCGGAGCTGTGAGGAACGCTCCGGCGACATTCATTGGGCAGAGGAGGGTTGGCCCTGCGTGAGGCCACGCCCCCCGCGGTGGCCGCGGGGTTGGTTGCGCGGGTGCCGGGGAAGGAGACGCTGCCCTTCCGCAGCGATGGGATCTTGGGTGAGTGGCTCCTCGGGTTGAGCCTGTGCGGCGGGCGATGCGGCAGGGCCCGGGACTGAGGCTTGCGGCGGGTGGGTGCCAGGTCTGAGCAACGAACTGGGTGGGAGCGCAGATGTCCGGGCTCAGAGGGACTAGAAGGGCCCGGGTTGGAATAAACAGGTACCCCGGCCGTGGGCGGCGCGAGAGGTGGAACGGAAGGTGCCAGGTCAGTGCGGAGATGCCCGGGCCGGGAACGTTGCAGGGTCGCAGGTACCTGAACCTGGGCTAGCAAAGTACCCGAGATGGAGGGAGCAGGTGTGCCGGTCGTGGGTGGCGCCAGTGGGCACCTGGACGACCCTCAAGGATATTCCAGGGGTCGGACCAGAGAAAAGGGGGCTTGAATTGGGGCTGCGCAGGGAGATGTCCGAGATGGGATGAGCAGATTTTGAATAAGGGGATATTGCTGAGGTTCCGTACGGAGGTGAGCGCCCAGTATCTAGCTCGATCAGACTTGGAAAGTGGCTGGGGTGGAATGAACAGAGACGGGGCAGAGGGTGGTTCAGAGGAGTGCCTGGGCCCCGGGGCATTGCTGGGGTCAGGGAGGAAAGATGGGCTGCTCAGGCCAGAGTCATTAATAGGATTGCCCAGGGCAAGGGAGGAGGTGCCCCTGTGGAAAGTGCGGGCATCCAGGCTGAGGGTGTTGTAAGTGCCACAGCGGGGGTGGAATGAGGGGGTTCTTGCCCAAGGTTATAGGGTGACTTTCCCAGCTGGAAATGGCGCTGGAAGTGTGCACAGAGTGGGAGACGTTGCTGCAGGCGGTCATCATGGAGAAGAGGAGGCTTCTCCCCAGGTTGCGTCAGTGGGGAAGAAGGGGGCATGGTTGAGCTGAGTCTGGATCCAACCCTGGAGTGAAGCAGGCTTGGGGGCCAGTGTTGTCACCTTGGACTTGCCGGTCTTCCTCACATCTGGAGCAGCAGAGGCTGCTCTTGACCCTCCTGCAGGCAAGTAACCAGGCCTCCCAGCCACACGTGCCCAGGAGGGAGCCGTGGCAGCTGTAGCAGGTGCCTCAGGGGAAACGCGGTAGCTCCAGGATCCCTCACAGCTGAGGTCCCATCCCAGCTTGGTCAGTTATCGAGTTCAGTCAGGTCCCTTAGCTCTCATGGCCTCAGTTTCCCCATCATAAGCAGTGGACTAAACTCCCCACCAGAGCCTGTTTCGAAGCCTGGCCTATAGTGGAAGTAGTGGCTGCTGATCCTCTGGCGTTCTGAGGCTTGGGCCAGGCTGGGGGGATGAGAGGGCTGGCTTATGATACGAACCCGGGCCCTGACCACTGGAGGTCACAGCTCAATTCACAGCCTCCTGGCAGGGTGTCTCCTATCTTGACAGCATGACCGTTTCCTTGGCCCTAGACTGGCTCTTCCCGCTTGCCCCCCTCACGCACGCAGCCCAACGCTGGAGCTACACCGGTAGGCTCGTCCATCCTTCCCACTCACTGGGGATAAGCTGTTTCTTGTGCTGCTCCAGTGATTTTGGCCGCCGTCCCAGGTTGATAGGGTCTGTCCTGGCCTGTGTATTCCTTCCGCTTGAGGTCCCAGGAGACCTTGAAGGCATCCTTGGTCTTTGTGGTGGCAGTTGGGGAGTGCTGTGCAGGATCTTGGGGATGGGGCAACGTGTGCTCAAGTCACTTATTCGCTGACCTTGGAAAGGGGTATGGGGTACCCTGGGGGGTCTTGAAGGCCCAGGGGAAAGTTGCTCTTATAGTTTGTAGTTCTGCTGGGGTTTGTCACTTCCTGGTGCAAGTTAGATTTTGCTAAAGGGCTGTATTGAGCACAGAGTCTAAAGTCCAGGAGACCTTGGTGCCAGACCTTGGTTGCCTCATACTAGCTGTGTGACTGTGGACTCCTCCTGGCTTAACCCCGCTGAGTCTCACTTTTCTCTTTGGAAACTGGCAGAGATGGGGTGCGGGGCCAGATACCATCTCCTTCACAGAATTGTAACGATTTCACGAAATAACGTACCTAAAGAACCCAGTACAGAATAGACCCACAGGCTGTCATGGTTTTCGTTATCTGAGCGAGCACCCTGCTGCTTTTTTAATACAGTCCACGGGAAAGAAAAACATTCTTGGCTTTGTGGGGGATGAACGGGCCTGGCCCTTTCGTGGCCTGGGGTTTTTGTGTAGCCAGTGGAACATGGGTTTAAAAAGATGGTGCAAGTGTGTTGTAGAGCCCCAAGGCTGAGAGTGACCTCTGCATCTCCCAGGCCTTGGGTCTGTTCTTGGGCCAACGTGCCAGAGATGCTGTCTCCTGCTCCTGGGGCTCTGGGTGGGCAGAGGGTACGTGGGGCATTTGGCTGCCTTCCTGCCTGAATCCAGGCCTGGCGTGCCAAAGGTAGGCTGTGCTCCCACTTCATCCCCCAGGGCGCTTTTATGGGCATTTCGTGTGCTCATGTGAGCATATCCTTGTGTCTGACTTGGTCATCCGTCTCTCAGCTCTTTGCAAGGACCCTCTGGTATGTGTGTTCCTGTCTTTTCGAAGCGTGGACGGTGCCTGGGACCCAGCCAGCAGCCAGTTGAAGACATTTTCCTTGGATGCTCTGAGACCCGAGGGTGCTGGTCCTGCCATGGCGTTCCGGAGGACTGAGGGTGTGTCCATGATCCAGGCGCTGGCCATGACAGTGGCTGAGATCCCTGTGTTCTTATACACAACCTTTGGGCAGGTAAAGATTGGGATGGGCTGTGGGCCTCCCATTATCCCTCTGGCCTCTGAAATACTGAGCCACTCATCCCAGGGTCCCTAGTATTTGGGAAAGCCTATCCCTCATTATTGCTCCAGGCTTCTGGGGTCTCCTCTTTGAGCAAAGCAGGAAGGACAAGGTTAGGAGTCTGGGGCCCCAAGCCTGGTCTTCACTCTGGGCTATCTGAACTCTTGGCCTCCGTTTTTCAGCCTAAAAAGGGGTCAGTAGTGCGCTCCCTGCCAACCTCAGATGTTTATGGCTGACCAGGTCTTTTGACACTTCCTAAAGCTTTGCTATATGCAGTGTAGGCTCCCCCCACACCCCCGCTGCCCCTCGAAGGGCTCCCAGCTCAGCAGGCAGAGAATGAGGAGTAGGGAATTGTACAGAGAGGGGTTAGGTGGAGTGAATGTTATGGACATCAAGGATGTTACGATGTTTCGAAATGGGGTCAAGAGACTTAGGTTTGATTTCAGACTCCCTGTCATCTCGAGTGCATGTCTTAACCTGTGTGAGCCTCACAGTCTCACCTGGAAAAGGACAAACATTCATTCAGCCAGGTAGCGCAGGTAGAATCCTAGTCCCATGCCTGGCGTAGTAGGTGCTCGGTCACTGCAGCTGTTAGAGTCATGACCGACGGAGTTAAGGACACCTGTTAGAGCCCAGATGTGATCTCTTCGGCATTGTCTCTTTGCTGTCCCCATTCCCCCTCTTTACGTCTGCGTGGTCCACATTTCAGAGGTGCTGGCCAGGTGCCTCCTCGGGGTGGGGGCGGGGGGGGTTGCCTCTCGATCATTCCGAGGTGCTGGCCGGGTGCCTCCTCGGGGTGGGGGCGGGGGGGGTTGCCTCTCGATCATTCC